GTTCAAAAATAAAAAAATTGTAAGTATTTGTATAGAAAATAATAGTTAATAAATAAGATTACATTATAAATTATAAAACCAGACAAGTCAGAAATAATATATTCAAGTGTCAAAATACGATCTAAATTACATGATGAATTCAAACAAACTGTAATAAAATGTGTTAAGATAATAAATTTGAGAATTTTTTTATACCCCAACTATATATATTTGCGCATTTAGTACATGATGTTCGAATTAAATCGATTTAGTTACTCAACTTTTCGTTTATCAATAAATTTTGGTCCACATCGTAAGATTTCATTAAAACAAATAAATAAAAAACGGTTTTAGAAAAAAAATTCGTTAAATTCATGGAAAACTATATAAAAAAAATTCTTTAATACTATGTCAATTTGTTCCATTAATAATAATAAAAAAAACTAAAGAACATATATATATTATATAGGAATCTACTTTTAGGCTTTTAATTCTGAACTTTATATTGTTGCTTCTCGAGTTACAAATAAAAAGACACAAGATACTGATATATATTGAGAAATAAAATATACATATATAAACATTATATATAGTAGTCTATTTTAATTGCATATCAAAATTATTTATTCTAATTATGTTTCCTTATTTCATTTATTTTTAATAGTTCCGTGCATTTGCACGGGCCACGATACTAGTTGTTGTTTAATATTATGTACGCATATCCTTTTCAGGTGGTTTACATATCGAGCATTTTTCGTTTTTCCCTATTTCAGCAAATTAATATCTACATACGACTCCATAATATAGCAAACCCAAATCAAATGAACCTGAAGAGACCTTTAAATATAGAACAAAAAATGCATTAAACAGAAAACTAATTAAAACAAGGAAAAAAACAAAATCTTTTTAACATTAAACCAAAATCAAATGTCAATTCTTAATCATCTCCCGTGAAAATTCTCTAGAAACATGGGAGAAACTACAACTACCCAAGAATCCTTACAACCCTCGCCGTTAATGTGATCAGCAGACATATCAAAGACTCCCACTGAGTCCGACTCAGAGTCGCCAACAAAAACAACTCTTTTGTCGCAGTCCTTCCAGGACAAGTCGCACGTTAACTCTTGGGATTTCACAGTTTTTGGACTTCCACCTCCATTTGAGATAATCCTCATCTTCACAGCCGCTTATCAAGCAGTTAAACCTGCTCCACAAAAGGGCACTCCGAGGCATTATACCGTTGCTCCACATCGCAAAGCCTACTTGATATATACAGATTTATTACTCTTTACTAATTCACAACAGATAAAAATCCTTTTAACAGTTTATTTGCTTTTATATATTGCTTCATATATTGAAAATTATATCCAAATTACAAAATTTCAATAAGTACCAGGTGCCATAAGCTCCTTCAATGGCCCAAGTCATTTTTCTTCTTCCTTTTACTGCACAAATTATCCCACATCACAAATAAATAAACAAGATCACCCTATTGACAATAATCGCACCAATCAATACTTCATTATCTTGGAAACTAAAATATAATCCACATACAAACATTAAGCCATCAAAAAGGTTACCCGGAATAGGAAATACTGGCAACGGTCTTTCGTGAGTGTCTGAGACAAATTAATGATCTGGTGCAGGTCGGTTTCCATAAGCTTGTAAACCAAGTACACATCCTTGAATCTCTCCTTGTGATTAGGCAGCATTACATCTTGAGAGCTATAACATTCTCGTGCTAAAGCTTGAAGGTGTCTGATAACTGAGAAGCTTCGACTCGCGTATGGTTCTAATGTTGACTGACAAGCACACTATCCCATAGACCCCACCTCCGATGGGCTTGACCAGCAAATATTTCGTGTCAATTTCAATTAACGTCTGCACATGAAGGTTTCACGTCCGATGCTTTCCTTGGGATCGGACCCCGTTCGGAGTTTTCAATGGAGTTGCCATACTATTTGAAATCATCATTCGAAAAATTAGAGTTGGAACAAAAAATGAGAGTCCATGGGTTGCAACTTACCAAAGATCAACTTTCTTAACAAAATCTCACCAAATCTAACATAATTTTTTTTATAGGGATGAGCATTTCCCTTTCTAACTCGATCATTAATCAGTATGAAATTACAGTAATAGGAACTTTTCTCAAGAAATCCATGAACACATACAAGAAGCATTGATGAATCTCTTACATCTAATGCGAAATACATGAAATTCTTCTATTCAATAAATAAGATAACTTGAGAATGTAACTCTGAGCCTCCAAGATATAATCAACTATACAAGATTTAGAGGGAAATGCTTTCACATTAAATTGTACAATTCCCTCGTAATAAAAATCAATCTTAGACGAAATAGAACAACTGTATAGATCGAAAACACAG